CACCTTCTGGTTCCTTCTGGTCCCAAATGGGAATCCACCACCATCTCCTGGTCCATATGGTCCCATATGAGCCCCCACCACCATCTCGTGGTCCTTCTGGTCCCATATGAACACACACCACAATCTCCTGGTCCATATGGTCCCATATGAGCCCCCACCACCATCTTCTTGTCCCATATGAGAACCCACCACCACCTCCTGGTCCATTTGGTCCCATATGAGCCCCCACCACCATCTCCCGGTCCATATGGTTCCATGTGAGCCCCCATATGGTCCCATATGAGAACCCACCACGATCTCCTGGTCCATATGGTTCCATATTGGCTCCCATCACCATCCTCTGGTCTCATATGAGAACCCACCACCATCTTCTGGTCCGTATGGTTCCATGTGAGCCCCCATATGGTCCCATATGAGCCCCCACCACCATCTGATGGTCCCATATGAAAACCCATCACCAGCTCCCGGTCCACATGGTCCCATATGAGAACCCACCACGATCTCCTGGTCCCATATGAGCCCCCACCACCATCTCCCGGTCCATATGGTTCTATGTGAGCCTCCATATGGTCCCATATGAGAACCCACCACCACCTCCTGGTCCATTTGGTCCCATATGAGCCCCCACCACCATCTGATGGTCCCATATGAAAACCCATCACCACCTTCCGGTCCACATGGTCCCATATGAGAACCCACCATGATCTCCTGGTCCCATATGAGCCCCCACCACCATCTGATGGTCCCATATGAGCCCCCACCACCATCTGATGGTCCCATATGAGCCACCACCGCCATCTGCTGGTCCCATATGGGAACCCACCACCACCTTCCGGTCCGTATGGTTCCATATAAGCCCCCACCACCATTTCCTGCTCCGTATCATCCCATATGAGAACCCACCACCACCTCCTGGTCCATTTGGTCCCATATGAGCCCCCTCCCCACCTCCTGACCCTTCCGGACCCCCCTCCCTTCCCCCCCTCAGAACCCATCTCTGGACCCCGGGTGTCACCAAGGCGTCCCATTGAGCGAAGTGCCTCCTGCTCACCATGGGACGATGGGGAGGGGAAGGTGGGTGTGAGAGGTGGGAGGGGGAGGGGAGGGNNNNGGGGGGGAGGGGTGTCCACTCGGAGGGTTGGGGGTCGTTCCGGGGGTCCCGGGCAGAGTGTACAGACCTATAAAGAGAGAGATATTACATAGAGTCGTTTGCTAACGAGATAGTTTTAATTGCAGATGTATTTTATCGCGTGTGCGTGTGTGTGTGTGTGTGTGTGTGTGTCCCACCCGACCCCCCCCCACACACCCCCCAAATTTGGGGACACTTTGGGGCGGCATTGGGGACCCCCTCCTCTCCCGTATCCCCCCTTTTTATTTCATTTTTCTATGAATTTAATTTCTTTCTTTCCAGCTTTCCAATAATTACCTTTTCTCCTCTGCTTTTTTTCCTCGGTTTTTTTCCTCATTTTTTTTTCCTTCTTTCTTTGTATTTTCTTTCTTTCCTTTCCCGCCTTTTATTTCCTTTTTTGCAACTTTTTCCCCTTTATTTTCCCCCCTTTTCCTCCCCGTTTTTTCCCCTTTTCCCAATATTTTTTCCTGTTTTTTTCCCTTTTCCCCCTTTTTCCGCTCCATTTTTTACTCTTCTCTTTCCTCTTTTCCTTTATTCCTTTTTTTGTCTTTCCCATTTCTTTTCCTTTTATCATTTTATTTCCTTTTATTTTTTTCTTTTTCCCCATTTTTCTTTTCTCCTTTTCTTTTTTTCGTTTTTCCCTTTTTCTTCTTTTTTTCCCCTTTTTCCCTTTTTTCCCCTTTTCCTTTCATTTCCCTTTTTCCCTTTCCCTGCTTTTCCTTTTTTCCTTCTCCCATTTATTTTTCCTTTTCTCCCTTTATTTTCCAATTTTCTTCTCCTTTTTTCCCCTTCTCCTTTTTTTCCTTTTGCACCTCTTTCTTTTCTCCCTTTACTTTTCCATTTCTTCCCCCCTCTCCCATTTGTTTTCCCTTTCTCTCCTTTGCCCCATTTATTTTTTTACAATTTTCTTCTCCTTTTTCCCCTTTTTTTCCCTTTTCTTTTTCCCCCTTTCCCTTTTATCCCTTCCTCCTTCTTTTCTCTGTCGTTTTTTTTCCCATTTTATTTCCTTTTTTTTTTTTTTGCTTTTTTATTCTTTTGTTCCTTTTGTTAAATTATTTTATTCCTTTTTTTCTTCTTCTTTCCTTTTTTTCTCCTTTTTCCTTCCTTCCCTTTTCCTTTTTTTTCTCCTTTCCTTCCCTTTTCCTTTTTTCCTTTCCCTTTTTTTCCTTTTATATTTTTCTCTTTTTTTCCCTTTTTTCTTATTCTTTCTCTCTCGTCCCCTTTTATTTCCCTTTCCCCCTTTTATTTCCTTTTTCTTTTTTTTGCTTTTGATTCCTTTTTTTATTGTTAAAATATTTTATCCCTTTTTTCTTTTCTTCCCTTTTCCTTTTTTTTCCCTTTTCCTTTTCTTCCCTTTTCCTTTTCCTCTTCCTTTTCCTTTTTTTCATTTTCTTCTCTTTTCCTTTTCTTCCTGTTTTTTTCCTTTTCCTTTTTTTCCTTTTCCTCTTAATTTTCCTTTTTTCCCTTTTCCTTTTCTTCCCTTTTCCTTTTCCTCTTCCTTTTCCTTTTTTTTTCATTTTCTTCTCTTTTCCTTTTCTTCCTGTTTCTTTTCCTTTTTTCCTTTTCCTCTTCCTTTTCCTTTTTTTCTTTTCATTTTCTTCCCTTTTCCTTTTCTTCCTGTTTTTTTTCCTTTTCCTTTTTTTTCCTTTTCCTCTTCCTTTTCCTTTTTTCTCTATTCCTTTTCTTCCCTTTTCCTTTTTATTTTCCTTTTCCTTTTCTTCCCTTTTCCTTTTCCTCTTCCTTTTCCTTTTTTTCATTTTCTTCTCTTTTC